GGTGTTGCCCCCGCGCCTCGCTCAGCCAGTGAGCGGGAACCGGTCTGCATGTGGGATCCGAACCCCACCGGGCCGGCCCGCCACTCACCTCTCTGAGCCTCAACTTCCTCATCTCTAAATGGGGTGTATCCTCTTCCCACAAGACCTTGTGTGGCTTCTCCACCCACCTGGCCCCTAGCTGCCTACAGCCGTGTTGTCAGAGGTTTTAATGTCTGTCTGTCCTCCACTGAAGTATAGAGCAGCCACTTGGAGTCTGCCAGGCACTGGATAGCTTTAGTGCCGCCTCCCCCCCCACCCCACTCCATTTCACAGCAAAGGAAGCTGAGGCCCCCAGAGTGTTGGTCTTGCCACCACAGGGGCCTTCCAGCCAGCCTCGTCCCCCTCTCTCCATCCCCACAGGTTTTGACGCCCCACTGGAGCTGGGGGACCCACCCCTGCAGGGCCTGACTAGCCTGGAGCCCCCAGCACCCCCAGAGAGCACCGACGAGGGTCCTGAAACAGAGAGGTGCCCAGGCCGGGGTGCAGGAGGGGCTGGGCAGGGCAGGGACAGGTTTATTTGGGGCTGGGGATGGTGTGTGTCGGGGTCGCTGCTGCCATCTGCACCTGCCTGTGCCCGAGCCATCTCCACTCTGCCTTGCTCCTCTTTCTTCCCTCTTCTCTCTCTCTTCTGCTTTCCTTCAGGTCTCCCTTCTCCTTTGCCTCCTTTTTTCCTCCTTCCCATTTCCGCATTGTCCCCTTTCTTCCTCGTCTCCTCCCCCATCCTTCTTCCTCCCTCTTTCTCCCTCTTTCCTCTGCTGCTTCCTTCCTCACTGATTTTCCTCTTCTCCTTCCTTCCTCCCTTTCTCTCCTCTTATCCTCCTTCATTTCCCCTCATCCTCCTTCTCTCTGTGGCCTGGTTTTCTTCCCCTTCTCCTCCCTCCTCCTCTTTCCCTGCTCTTCATGCCCCTCAGCTCCTCCTGGCCTTTCATCTTCCCCCTTCCTTCCCCTTCTCTTTTGAGCCCCAGCCCTGCCGCCTTGCTCCTGCCTCCTGGTGCCCTGGCCCTCAATCCCCCACCCCTCTGTGCTCCGTGCCCCGGGGGCCCTGTCCCCCTCCCAGTTGGGGGGCAGGTTCTGCCCCCTGCCTGTCCTTGTGCTGCTGCTTTGGGGACCCTTTGGCGGGTGTGGGGAGGTGGCTTGGGTTCCATCTGGGTCCACCTCTGACCCTGTGCCCCTCTCTCCCCAGAAGGTGGAAGAGGTGGGTGCCTGGGCCCTGGGTGGGGGAGGGCTAGCCCCTCCCCCATTTCTCCCAGCCCCTCCCCTCTCCCCATGACCACCCCCTCCCCTTCACCCCCTGTGAGGGGTGGATAGGGACATCACCCTCCCAGTTGAAGAGCTAAGTATCAAAATCCTTCTTCCCCTGCCTCTGTCCCCATCCCTCTGCCTCAGGGAAGGGAGGGGGTCAGTCCTTTGTGCCACACTTGGTTCCCATCCCCTTCCCTGACCGAACTTCAGTATTCCTCCTGCACACCCCCCCACCTACCCACCCCAGCACCCCTAAAATCCCACTACTTCTGACTCTCTCCTCTCTTCTGTTGCATGTTTGATCTCTGTCCTGGTCTCCCCTGTCCCTGTCCTGGTCACTGCCCATCTCTGTCCTGGTCTCCCCATCCCTGTCCTGTACTCCCTTGTCCCTGTCCTGGTCTCCCCTGTCGCTGTCCTGGACTCTCCCCATCTCTGTCCCTGTCCTAGTCTCTCCTCATCTCTGTCCTTGTCTTGGTCTCTCCTTATCTCTGTCCCGGCCTCTGCCTGACTCTGTCCTTGGCCTCGGGGTCCAGGCTATCGGGGCGTCTGGGGCGCTCGGAGAGCCTGCGGGTGAGTGACCGCCGCCGGCCTTCCCGGGGCAGCCTCGGGGCTAAGGGCCGGGGTGGGGGCCGCTCCCGGAGCGACGTGGACATGGACCCCAGCTCCGCCACGGCCGTGCTTGGCCCTGCCCGACGAGCCACGTACGTCACTCCCCCCCCCGCCCCCATCCACTGAGGCAGCCTGGAGAATCAGGGAGGGGGGTTGTTGCCAGAGTCACAGAGAAATGGGCATTGGATGCTGAGGTCATGAAGGGCCAACTGCAGTCATGGGCCTTGGAGGAAAAGGGGGTGGGACACTTCTTTCTAGAAATTTGGGGAATGAAGCATGGGCCACCCTGGGGGCATTGAATGCCCAGGACACTGAGAGGAGCTGGACACTAAGGAGTCGAAGGCTCCTTCCTGGGGTGCCCCAAGCTGGGGCCCTAACAAGGCATCTGTCCACAGCCCTGAGCCTGGAGATGAGGGGGAGCAGGGGCGGTCGGTACTGGAGCTGGAACCAGAAGAGCCTCCCGGCTGGCGGGAACTAGTCCCCCCAGAAACCCTGCACAGCCTGCCCAAGAACCAGGTGAAGCGGCAGGAGGTCATCAGTGGTGAGTGCCACCCTGTCCACCCTACTGTGGCCAAGGGCAAAATCCAGTTTTGGCAAAGGCAGAGACAGATGCAGGGAGGTGTCCATCTTGGTCCCTATTTGCCACAGGGAGAACTAGAAGACAACTCGTTTCTAACAGGGGACAAGTTGTTACGTAAATTGTGGAACAGCCAGTAGATAGAACATGAATGCAGCTGTCAAAGTGACATTCGCAAAGGATTTTTAGTAGTGCAGACAATGCTGATGTTAAGAGCCAGAAATGGTACATAAAATTGCATTTCTCATGTCAGCCTTCGTTTCCTCATTTGTGAAACATGGGGACTAATAATTCCTACCTCAAAAGATTGTCCTGAAGGTGAGGTGATTCATGTGAAGTGTTTAGCACAGTGTTGGGCACAGGAAGAGCATTTTAGTGGGACTGTTATTAGTATGGTCTTAATCGCTTAGAGAAAAAAGATTCCCACAGGGAAGAGCTTGGGAAAATGATCAATATATTGATTAATATTGAAGTGCTTGCTTCTGAGAGGAGAGATGATGGGTGTATTATTTTCATCATTTCTTTTTCTGTACTTTCTAATTGTGTGTCGGGAAAGAATGGTGGCAAAAGTAGAAAACTTTTGGGAGCTTGTATGAAAGTTTATTTACTGGTATCTTAATAGTAAGAAAAGGGCTGGCCGGTTAGCTCAGTTGGTTAGAACGTGGCCTTATAACACCAAGGTCACGGGTTTGGATTCCCTTACTGGCCAGCCACAAAACAAAACCAAAAAAAATATCAGTAGTAAGAAAGGTACTCATTCAGAATGTTTAGGGCAGTAGGTGAATACTTTTTGAGTCACAAATCCTTCTAAGGAAATAGTAAAGGGCCGGCCCGTGGCTCACTCGGGAGAGTGTGGTGCTGATAACACCAAGGCCCCGGGTTCGGATCCTATATAGGGATGGCCGGTTCGCTCACTGGCTGAGCGTGGTGATGACAACACCAAGTCAAGGGTTAAGATCCCCTTACCGGTCATCTTTTAAAAAAAAAAGAAAGAAATAGTAAAAATACAAGTGGTGCTATCTGGTAGAACTTTCTCGAATGATGGAAATGTGCTTTATCTGCACTGTCCAACACGGTAACCAGCTAGATATGGCTGTTAAGCACCTGAAATGCAGTGGATACAACTGGGAACAGAATTTTTTTTTTTTAATTAAAATGTGAATGTGTATGTGGCTAGTGGCTGCCATAGTGGACAACATAGCAGCAATTTCTCTCACCAGAAAAATATGCCCAACATACACAGTCGTGAATTTAGTCTCAGGGAATATCTGGTGCCGCTGGAGCTCATACGTGCACCCTAGGGGCAGGGGAACAAGGTGGAGTATGGATCTGAAGCTATCAGCCTGTGTGTGGAGGGAATCATTGTACCAGAAACCAAGGCTGCGGGTTGCTGGCAGTGGGGCAACCAACTCATCCTGCTTTGCCCAGGACTTTCCCAGTGTAATCACTGAAAATCCCATGACAGGCAAACTTGGACCACTGGTTACCTCAGCTAGCTGCCAGGACAAAAAGAGAAAGGTAGTGGGTCTAGGAATCCTCGATGGCTATTTAAGGGGATAAATGACTCCAGACAGAGAATATCTCCCCTCCTCCCCACCATGTCAATTTCTAGGCAGCGTTCATCACCCATTCTGGCTCCGTCCCTTCCTTCTCCTCCTTCCCCCATCCTGCCTCTGAGGTCCCCCCCATAGTTTGCATGCTTCCTGCTTTGGTGGCCCGCAGAGCTTCTGGTGACAGAGGCAGCCCACGTGCGCATGCTGCGGGTGCTACATGACCTCTTCTACCAGCCCATGGCAGATGGGGGCTTCTTCCCACTGGAGGAGCTGCAGAACATCTTCCCCAGCCTGGACGAGCTCATCGAGGTGCATTGTGAGTGCAGGGCCGCAGCCCCTCTGTGCGCCTCTCCACATCTCCCCCGTCCCCCTCCTCCGATGCCTCAGCAGGGGCAGATCTAGAGCTCAGCACATTCTCCTTGAGCACCTGCCATGGGCAGCCTCTGTTCCAGCACTGGGGACAACCTGCCCTGGACCCCCAGAGTCACATTCCAGGGCAGGCAGGCACACTAAGCACATGGTAAGGTGGGGGACAGACTCACTGGCCCCAAGGATCAGACACAGACACACCTGCAGCCCGACCCCCCACCAGCTCCTGACCAGATACTACATACAATCTGCCGGGCCCTGAAGGAGCACCGCCTTTCCTCACTGCTCCCCACAGCCCTGTTCCTCGATCGCCTGATGAAGCGGAGACAGGAAAGTGGCTACCTCATTGAGGAAATCGGAGACGTGCTGCTGGCCCGGGTGAGGGTGCCCAGCCCAGCCCAGCCCCCCAACCGCTCCTCCCAGTCACAGATCTGTAATATTGGCCCCCAGGGAACCAGGTCTCAAACCACACCTGCTCAAATCCCAGGGGTCTGAGCCCCCAGGCCTGTCCTCCTATGTTAGGCTTTTATCCCCATGTGAGACCCTGTCCTTGCCAGTATCACCTGAGACTCCTTCCCTGGCCCTAATCTTGCTGTAGTTTGATGGTGCCGAGGGCTCCTGGTTCCAGAAAATCTCCTCCCGCTTCTGCAGCCGCCAGTCATTTGCCTTGGAGCAGCTCAAAGCAAAACAGCGCAAGGAACCTCGATTCTGTGCCTTTGTACAGGTGAGGCAGGGGGTGTGGACCCCAGGGTCCCAGGGGAGGAGGGGCTGAGGGGCCACCTGTGCACTGCTTTCCCCTCAGGATGCTGAGAGCCGGCCGCGGTGCCGCCGCCTGCAGCTGAAAGACATGATCCCCACGGAGATGCAGCGTCTAACGAAGTACCCCCTGCTCCTGCAGAGCATCGGGCAGAACACAGGTACCCAAAGCCCAGCCACTCCTCGGTGCCTCAGCTTTCCTTCCTCAAACCTTGGCTGCTGAACCAGGAGCTTCTAGGGTGGTGTTCACAGAAGCTGTTCTCTCTCTTGCCCTCAGAAGAGCCCGCAGAACGAGAGAAAGTGGAGCTAGCAGCCGAGTGCTGCCGGGAAATTCTGCACCACGTGAACCAAGCAGTGCGGGACATGGAGGACCTGCTGGTGAGCCAGGGCAGGAGGCAGTGTGTGTACAGGGGTCAGGCCCGCCTCAGCTTGTCCAGAGGTCAGGCCTGGCCTTTGGCTTGTCCCTCTCAGGGTCATTGTGTGTCCAAGGGATGACCCAACCCTCAGCTACTCCCTCCCAGGGTCATTGGAGGTCAGGTCTGACCCTGGAGTTGTCTCCCGTGGGGTCACTGTGGGTCATCCCCAGTAGGGTACTTGGCTTGTCCCCATAACATACCCTCCACTCCTTCAGCGGCTCAAGGATTATCAGCGGCGCCTGGACTTGTCTCACCTGCGGCAGAGCAGCGACCCCATGCTGAGCGAGTTCAAGGTGGTCCCTGCCTGCCTTGCCCGGACCTCCCCTGCCTTTCCCTACCCTGAGCCTGTCCTGGCCCTGCCACTGGGGGACTCTCTGATCGAGCCCACAGCCCACCCTGTGCATCTGACAGTGCACCCAGGGAGTGAAAACTCTTACCCCCCACCTTGTTCCTAGCCAGGGCATTGCAACCCCTGACTGGTATCCCCAGCCCCATGGCCATCCCCACCCACTGCCCTCCCCTCCTCTTGGCTGCACCAACCATTACTCCATCCTGCCCCCAGAACCTGGACATCACCAAGAAGAAGTTGGTCCATGAGGGCCCGCTAACGTGGCGGGTGACAAAGGACAAGGCTGTGGGTGAGTTCCAGAGTGGCAGCAGCAGGTGGCAGTGAGCTGGGGCTGCAGGGCAGGAAGGGAGCTGAGCACCTGCCATGGCCTCACCCCCCTCAGAGGTCCATGTGCTGCTGCTGGACGACCTGCTACTGCTGCTCCAGCGCCAGGATGAGCGGCTGCTACTCAAGTCACACAGCCGGACGCTGACGCCCACACCCGATGGCAAGACCATGCTGCGGCCTGTGCTGCGGCTCACCTCCGCCATGACCCGCGAGGTGGCCACTGGTGAGTGCAGTTGTGTGGCCAAGGGCAGGCAGGTGGGAGCAGAACCCACTAGAGAGCTAGAGAGAGCACATTCTGGGGAAAGGAAGGCCACTGCAGAGGGCGAGAAGGGGATGGCTTGGCTGGCCTAGGCAGAAGTGGACACGGTTGGGCCAGGCTGGGTAGTGGGTTTTATTAAGTGAGATGGGAAACTACCCCTGGTGTTTGCACAGAGCAGTGCCCGGCTCTGATCAGTATTTTGAAAAGACACCCTGGCTGCTGCTTGGGAACTAGGGAGCAGGGGCAGAAGCCAAGAAGTTGCACCAGGGCCACCGACAATGGAAGTGTCTCCGTGGCGGGAGTGACTGGAGGATTTCTGTAGGTAGAGCCAGCCAAGGGACTTGTTTCCTGACTTGATAAGAGGATGTGAGGGAGGGAGGACTCACAAGGAGGGTATGCAGGACCCTGGATATTAGCAGGACAGTGAGGAGTGAATTGAATCCTGAGAGCTATTTGGGTACCACCATATGGTGGGGCACCCCCAGCCTTTAGCCTGTGCTCAGTGAGGGGCACATATTGGGGGTATGCTGGCTCTGAGCCCCATCTCCCCCTCCCCCTGCAGATCACAAAGCCTTCTACGTCATTTTTACCTGGGACCAGGAGGCTCAGATATACGAGCTGGTGGCGCAGACTGTGTCGGAGCGGAAGAAGTGAGGGAGGGTCTGGGTTCCAAGCATGGGTAGAGGAAGCCCAGGCCCGTGGGTCTCCTGGGACAATGTGGGGGTGGAAGGCCCTGGTGCAGAGTCTGGGGCTCTGACTGCCCAGGGGCTTGGCCTGTCTCCCCAGCTGGTGTGCCCTTATCACCGAGACTGCTGGATCCCTGAAGGTCCCTGCCCCTGCCTCCCGCCCTAATAAGCCCAGCCGGCCCAGCCCTAGCAGGTGAGGGGAGTCAGAGAGGGAGCTGGAGGTCCAAGGAGTTGGGGGGCGGAGCCAACTTTCCTGCACATCCCCAGAACCCAAGCCCCATCCTTGTCTCCATGTACATGTGTGCATGCATGTGTATGTATGTGCCGACCCCACCACAGCCCCGCCTGTCCCCCATCTCCAGGCCTCTCTGTCTCCCTGTCTCCTGGCCTTGACCTCTGTTTCTGTCCCTAGACCTCCCTGCCTCCCCATCTCCAGCTCTCTGTGCCCCTGTCCCTGCCACCCCCTGGGGCCAAGGGTGTGTGGTTACCTAGCACTTCCTCCCCTTAGCACCCGAGAACCCCTGCTCAGCAGCTCTGAGAACGGCAACAGCGGCCGAGAGATGCCTCCGGCTGATGGTGAGACCAGAGGGACACCGGCTGGGGACTGGGTGGGGTGTCACAGGTGATAGGAGGCGTCCACAGGAAGCCCAGCAGGATCTAACCACCCTCCCTGTTCCCTACCTAGCCCGGGCTGAGAGAATCTTCAGTGACCTCCTACCCTTCTGCAAACCAGGCCCTGAGGGCCAGCTGGCTGCCAAGGCCCTTCAGAAAGGTAGCTCAGCCCTGCCCCCTTCAGGCCAAACAGTGCCTCTGTTCAAAGTAGAAAAAGTCTTCCCCTTTCACATTTCTTTATGCCCAGCTGCCAGAAAACAAAAGCACCCAGCCTGCACAAACGTCCTGGGTGGCCCCAAGTCCCTCTGCCTCCGGCGGCTTCCATCCCTACCTTGATCCTAAATTCAACTCCTCCCTGGATGCATCTCCATCTTCAGTGCCCTCCCACCTCCTCGTCCCTACTTTGTTTTTTTGTTTTTTTTTTTAAGATGACCGGTAAGGGGATCTCGACCCTTGGCTTGGTGTTGTCAGCACCACGCCCAGCCAGTGAGCGAACCGGCCATCCCTATATAGGATCTGAACCCGTGGCCTTGGTGTTATCAGCACCACACTCTCCCGAGTGAGCCACCGGCTGGCCCTCTCGTCCCTACTTTGAATATCCCAACCTCACCTGCTCAGGCTTGCCTGGGACCGCCGTCACCTCCACTCGGCAGGCCCCTGCCCTCTCCTTGCCCCTGCCAGTCCCTGCCGAATCCCCCATCCCCAATTCCAGCCCAATCCCCCAGCTTCTCCTGACTCCACCCCCCTTGCCCCTGGCCAGTGCTGTCCCTGAAGCAGCTCCTGTTTCCTGCGGAGGAAGACAGTGGGGCGGGGCCTCCCCACCACCAGGATAGGGTCCCAGGGGGCGGCCCGCTGAGCTCAGCACAGACCCAGGAAATCCAGGAGAACCTGCTCAGCTTGGAGGAGACCATAAAGCAGCTGGAGGTGGTGGCTGGTGGGGGCGGGGGGGACCGTGAGTGGGCTGGGGAAGGAGGGGACCCCTCTCATCGATGACGCCCTACCAGGAGTTGGAGGAGGAATTTTGCCGCCTGCGATCCCTCCTTTCTCAGCTTGGGGGGAACCCTGTCCCCCAGCCTGGCTGCACATGAGGTCCCTACCCAGGCAGGTGAGTGGGGGACCCTGGGGCCGGGCACTGGCCTGAGAGGAGGGGCCAGAGTGGGCACCTGAGGTGCTCCTGTCCCTACATCCATCTCCCTGTTTCTCTCCTGTATTTGTCTTTTCTGAATGTCCCTGCTTCACTTCCTGACACCTGTGTCTCTGCCTCTTTTGTGCTCTCTTGGTCACTCCCACTTTCCCTTTCTCTCCCCATCTCTCCATTTCCTTCTTCTCCCACATCCCCCAGGCCTTCGCCAGGAGAGGAACAGAGGTGAGAACATGAGGGGCCACCCCCCAGCCACACAGCTGCAGCAGCATCTCAACCCCCAAGGGCCCAGGAGAGGGAGTCCGGATGCCCGGGCCACACCTAGGAGCCCAGCCAGGGTTCCTGCCTCCCCTGTTGGCCTTGGCCGTCTCTCCCTCCTGCGTTCTGCTTGGGGGACTCAGGGCTTCATTCCGGGGGGCACCACAGTAACCCCCACTTCCCAGGCTATCTTAGTATTGCCTGTGGGGGCCACCCCTCCATCCCCCATCCCCAAGTGCCTTTGCTCTGTTTTTATACCCTGAATTGGAGGTTTATTTTTTAATATATATTATCTAAGGAAAGGTCTGTGTTTGTGAGGGTGGGGTAGGCCTGGGGTCTGGGACCCTTCCTGACTGACTGGCGTCAACTTCCAGGATCTGTCCCAGCAAGTCGCCTTAGTGCCTCTTACCTTCTCTGATTTTTCATTCATTCATTCCTTTGTTTTAACAATTACTCCCCAGGCATCCCCGCACACCCACATACCCATTGGGTATGAAGTCTCCCCCAACCCCTCCCTCCCAGCGTACACCCCCGAACCCCTAAGTCAACACTGGGCACCCCACACCTCATTCTCTGTTCTTTTATTTTTGTATTAAATTCTAGAGGTGGCTGTGGGGGTAATGGGGAGTGGTGGGAAGGGGGCCCTCCTGGGTGGGGGCTGGGGGCGGGATTATTGCTCTGAGCTCCCTGTCCCCAGGGGGGCCTATGGGAGGGTGTCAGGACTGGGGCCAGCACAGGGGGGTGGGAGACACAGCTGCACAAACACACAGGTCACAGCACAGGGGTGGGCAGAGGAGGCTGGGCATTGTATTGCACTTTGGGAGTGGGGCCAGGCGGGGACCCCCCTCAAACTGGAGCCTGGGGAGGAGGCTGGAGGCTATCACTTTCCTTCCCCTCTCTGTGAAGGGGAAGGTGTGACCCCCACTCTGGGGTTGGGGAAGGAGACCAAAGCAGCAACATGCTGGCCTTGGGAGGGTTCCAAGGGCTGGTCCTGGGTCTTGGGCAGGGCCTTGAGGGCAGATGACAGAAGAGGCTGCATGGCCACTGCCCTGGTCCCCACCTTGGCAGAACCCATCACCCCATGCTGATTCAACTGCCAGTGCCCCCTTTTCCTGCCTTGGCCTTGGGGGGCACTGGGAGGCCCTCGTCACCGTCACTGTCAGAGCTACAGCCACTGACATCAGTAATCTCCAGCTCCGAGTCACTGTCCTCCTTCCCACCCAGCGCCACCTCTGGGCCCCCAGCCCCTGGCAGCGCTAGACGAGGAGCTGCTGCCAGGCCCACAGGACGCTCAGGGCCTAGGCTCTCTGCTGTCGCAGGCAGCAGGGGCGCAGCTGTGGGGCCTCCCCCTGCCCCTGCTGAGGGCAGGTGACCCAGGGAACTGGCCAGAGGGTTGGGGTAGAAGTGTGGGGGGTACAGAGAAGGGGGCAGTTTAGGGAAGGGACCTGTGAGGTATGGGTTAAAGTTCCATGGGTACTCAGGGAAGGTGCGGCCATAAGGACCCAGCAGGCCAGGGGGCTTGGAATAGCCGGTGGCACCTGGGGGATTATAGGAGGACGGTCAGGGTGGGCCACTCCACCATGGGGGCCCTGCTATGGGGATCAGGAAAGGGTGTTCCTGCCTCCCTGCCATGTTCTACCCCATCCTCCCCATTGTCCTTCCCACATGGCATCTCTCATCTTCACATGGCTTCCCCCCAACTCCATCTTCCCATCCCCCACTTATCTCCCCATTCCTTGAGCATTCTGAAAGCCCTTCTCCCAGCCTGTTTGCCTCCTCCCGCACCTTGCATGCTTCTACACAAACACACTCTCTCTCTCTCTCTCTCTCTCTCTCTCTCTTTCTGTCTCTCTCACCCTCACCCTGGGCCTCCTTCCATCCTGTCTTCTTCCCTCAAACACATGCAGCATCTTCCCTACCCCTTGCACTCCTGGGACCCCCAGGCTCTTACCAGAGCCCAGGAATGAGAAAGGGCTGTCCAGGCGCAGTTTGTCTGTCTCAGGGGTGAACAGGGGCGTCCGGGCCCCTGGCTCTCCCAGGCGTGGGGCAGAGAATAGGGTCTGCAGGGTCTGGGGAGGGAGGTAAAGGAGGCAGCCCTGCTCAGACTGCCTGCCTCCTTCCCAGGGAGGGTCATGGCTCAGGAACCCCAGCATCCAAACTCACCTCAGGGGTGAGGGGAGGAGCATCTGGCCCAGGGGTCCCCCCAAAGGGACTGGGGGTCAGCAAGAGTGGGGAGCCAGTGGCAGCTGCCGCCACGTCCAGCAGTGGGTAGTTGACAAGCACGACTTTGCTGAAGTTGAACTTGTAGGTGAACCTCTTCCCTTTGGTCTTGTGGAGAATCCGCTTGTTGTAGTAGTAACTATGGGGAGAGGAAGAGTGAGGGTGCTGGGGAGGGACACCTCAGGAGGCAAAGGAAGAGCCCTGGGCGGGGTCTTGGGTTTCTTGACACAGGCACAGAGCACAGCAATTGGGGAAAGTGAGGCTCACAGAAGTCCCCTAACCAAGGTCACAGGGCAAGAACGGAGTGAGATGGGATCTGGGGTCTTGCACAGCGTGGGTGCAGAGCCCTGCACTTTGGGAACCAATGGGGCTCTGCCCGAGTACATGGAGGGAAAGCCCCCAGGGCAGGAGGCCAGAGAGACAGTGAGGGGAGAAGGGGAAGAGGTGGGAGTCCAGTCCCCCAGCCCCTCCTCACCGTAGGGCCCGGCTCAGCTTGTCATAATTCATGTGGGGCTTGCACTTGCGGATGCCCCAGAGCCGGGCCACCTCATCTGGGTCCTTGATGACGAATTCCCCGTAGTCCCCCTGCCAGGCGATGACACCCTGGTACTCCTCCTTCTGCAGCAGCTCCAGGATAAAGTGCCACAGCTGGATCTGCCTCGAGCCAGGGGATGACTCCGGCTTGTAGGCCCAATCCGGGAAGGCAAACCCTGGGAACGGAAGGCAGGGAGTGGCCTTGAATCAGGACATTTGGGGCTCTGGGTCCTGCTGGACTCAGGAAACTGGGAGGCATCCAGTCCTCCCCTGACTCCAGATCTGAGGAATAGCCATCCAGCCTCAGGCATCTTTAGGGACCTGGTTCCCACTCTCCATATCCCCCCCCAACCCGGTGTCTAGTCCCCAAGTTGTCAAATAGTGGGAGAGAACCTAATCATCCAGGGACCCTGGGTTGGTCCTCCAGCCTGGTCCCCTACCTTGGCACAACTCCCACAGATCCAATATCCCATGGGTGGAGCATGGAAGGGACCAGTTTCCTGTACCCATAACTGGGAAGGAACTGGAAGGGAAGTTTACCCACTTCCTCAGCCCCTTCTCCTTGCTGCCCCCAGCATGCCCCAGGAGGTCTCTGGTCTCTCCTGAAATGCTCCTGGCTCTTGCTGCCTTCTCTCTTCCCCATCCCTTGTCCCCTGCTCCATCTCTCCCCATTCCCAAAGCCCCCCGCTCCCCCCACTGACCCCACCCAGGCACATCCAGGCTGGGTCTGTGTGCACATCTGTCTCTCTGAACCTATGTATTTATACCTTTTACATCCCCATGTCGCCTCTCCATGCTCACGTCTATCATTCAAGAGCAGCCCAGAATGGGGGAGGTGTACATGCACATGTGTGCACACGCTTCCATGGATGCTCACGGCAAACAACATATCACATAAATATCTGCTCACCCACCAGAGACACCCAGCTACACTGTGGGACACAGACACACCAGAGTGCCACACTCCTGCTGGGGTCACCAAGGCAAACTCACTAGACACAGACTGCCTGAGACACAAGGTCACATTATCTCAGCAACCCAGCATTGCACACCCATCACAACATGCACAATTACACATCTCAGGCCCCTCAGAACTGGGATCCACTAACAACACACTGCATGACAAGAGACACGGGATCCCAAAGGGCCAAATAACACATAGTGTGATGGAGATGGTGAACCAAGGCATTCAGGTCCGCAGATACACAGCCTGACAGACACACACAGAGTAACACCATGACAGTAGAACAACCTCCCAATCCCACACACACAGGCACTCACTTGTCAACAGTCTGTTACACCCATGGCTCACTCCGTATCATATTTCACACGTGGGAATCTTGGACCCTACTGTCTGCATGCACCCAGAAGCTAGGTGCAAATGGGGGCACTCACCCCTAAATCTCATCTTCCATCTAGAAGGCCCTTGGCCCTGGGTCCAGCTTCCCTGCTCACTCCTACGTCACAGCCTCTGTCCTCTTCCCCCTCCTCAGAGACCCCAGACCCAGGCATGAAAACAGAAGGCAGAATTAGTCTATAAAAAGCTGAGAGCAGTGCAAAAAAGGGAAGGAGACTGGGGAGGGGGACAACGCTGAGCTGGGGGACTGGGGTCCTTGTATCCACTTGCTGTGTGGCCACAGGGCAGGTCTTTGCCCTCTCTGGCTTCTTAGAATTTCAGAGGCAAGGAGGAGCAGGGTCCTGTCCAGGACGCCTGGTGTATAAAAGTGGGAGCTAACTCCTCCCTGCCTAAAGGCTGGGGAATGCCAGCTAGTTTCTTTCCCAAAGGGAGAATTTTGATCTCAACTCCCTTTTGGGTCTTTCTCACCTCAGATGACAGGACTCAATCAAGACTGGAGCCCTAGCCCACCCCACACCCAGAACATGTCTTACTGGTGAAGCAACTATCACAGACACACCTACGCAGCCCCAAGATGACAATGGAGACCCAACCCAGAAACACCACATGTCCTCAAATGCACATCCTCAAGTGTGTTGTACCTACTGAGACACAGACATGGGCTAGAGAAAGGACCCCAACTTCAGTACCTCAGACACACACATTGTAACAGACAACCCCCAATACTCAGTCACACACACACACACATATGCACACAAGCACGCATGGACCATCAGCTGAAAACCAGGCACAGCATCCAACAGAGGCCCAGGGACGCACCCGCCCACATAGCCCAAACTGCACCAAGACATCCATCCTAAATGCTGCACACCGTGCAACAGACCCACATGAAACAGGCAAAGCTTCTTCACCCCACCGAGTCAGGGATCCCCTCCGTACACAATCCTAAAGTGTAGATATGCTCAATGTCCCAAAGAAACATGACACACCCAGCCCAGAGTAGCATCTCAGGTAGCCTCAGATGTGCAAAAACAAGCATGCACATGCGCTCACACTAAAACAAGCAGACGCTGTGCACACACGCTCTCCCAGTGTGAACCCTTCTTCCAGAAACAAGTGTGACACAGGGACACAGCCTAAGATAAGACCCCAGATAACCAGGCACAGGCTCAGTCTCTCTCTCCCTCTCTC